CCAAAGAATGGTATAGAGCCTTACAAAACCCAATACTGTGGAGCCTTCTACTCCTCGGTTTCCAGCATCACTAAGACCCCATGACAGAGTTAGAGCATCCTTTTGGCATTTCTACTTAAATTATATACAAGAATAAATCCAATCCCCTCACTTCGTGCACCATGGGTCGCGAGCCAGAACGTTCTGAATTATGGCAAGCAAAGGGCCTGCCGTTCATCCTATACAGTTGTGATAGGGTGGCATAAGAAAAAATTAAATCACCAAAACTCAGTACTGCATGCTAAGGATTGATTGATAACCAGGGCTTAGAAAATACACAAAAGCAAAACAAAATGCAGTAGTTCCTAATTAAATGGTGAATGGCACGCCAGTTAGATGCCCCTTGCAGACGGGAAAGCTTGGACAGCAGACAACATAAAACACAAGGTAGTGCAATTGATCGAGCCCCGTGGTACATCAATAAATTAAATCCAAAGAAAAACTATTGTGTTTGTGTCATATTGCATTCTGGACAATGCAAGTTCAATGGGCAAAACAGTTAAAAGGATAGAACGCACTTCCCAATATTGCAGATGTTGCTTGCTAGATGGTGACAGATGTTCGAAAAAGCTTCATTGCTCCGGTTCCAATTCTACACTTCTTGACACATTGTTTATAGAAGGCATCACTTTAATAGCAGACTAATTTTCTCATATTTTTTTATTCTAATATCACTGCTTTTTAGAACCATATGTATAAGACCAGTCCTTGTAGTCAGTACCTATAACATTCTGACATTTGTAAGACCCACCTTGTACGGACATGTCTAGCTAAAATGAACCCCGTTAATATGCATTATGGACGAAATTTCTGGCAAGTGATCTGTCGCCATGCAACTTTGCCCCATTAATATGAAAACCTGCAGTCCGGGCTGTGGACAGCTATTTTGGGGACAAATTAGGTAAATACAGGGATTTTTGACTCTTTATAACAGATGCCAGCACCTCAGTTTGGAAAAAAAAAGGTACAAAAACTTCCCCAAGATATCAGTGAACCTAAAAGATCACAGTGTACATACACCCAGACGTTCGTTGCGAATATTGCGATAAGAGCTGCCAACCAAAAGATGTTTTGTTTCGTCTTTTACACAAAATGGGTCCTCACTGTTTCCGGTCTATTGTTGCTTGAGATTGTGCATGACATATAACCAGGAAAAAATAAAAATGAACCCTAAAGCACCTAGGTCACCTCAGTGTAGATCTTGTCACTGTTTGGAGAACAGGAGATTGGCTCTAGACCTACAAAACTAATTTATTTTACACTTTGTTTCAATTAGGGTTAAGCAGTATCGCGATACAAATGTATCGCGATAGTATTTTAGAAATACATTCCGTATCTGCATTTCTGTATCCCGATACATTTTTTTTTCACCAGTATCTGCATTCCTGCAACGAAATGCATTTGGAATGTTCCTTTGTATCGCAATACAATCAGGGTGAAATGTATTTCGTTAGATTTCTTTAGAAATACTACCCCTCCCCTCCAGAAAAAAAAAAACCGCACACATTTTTATTTTTAGGGCACCAGGGTCAAGGAGATGCTGGGGCATTGTTACCATACCGACCAAGGTTCCTTCCCATTCTCCAAACTATTTTTCTATGCATCTTCTTCTCTCTTCTGAGAAGTGTTGCGTAGTCGGGGACTCGAACCAGGTGGCGTGCCAGGAGTGGAGACAGAGCATTTTGTGCCGCAGGTCCTTAGGTAAGGGTTTCTTGAGTCATAGTTTGCTGGCATCCAAAGCCCGCTGCTAACCGTCTCTCTTGCCTTAGCGTACACAGTACACCCAGCCGGCAAAGTAGAGTCACAGTCCGTGGCAGCACGAGCCTGGCAGTGGTTGACTTGAAATAGTAGGATGACTCACGCAGTGAAGTTCAACACATATTTGAATGCGTCTGAGGCTGCGCCCGTAATATTGTACGGCGCAAGGGTACGTCATCAGCCGACATGAAAGTGACCCACTGCTCTGGTGATCCGAAACCCAGAAAGGAGGTCAGACGTGGCCTCGCTGTGCCGACCCAGACTTTGTACACCTGCGACTCGTCACGAGCGCGCTGTTTCTCGGAGAGCTTGCACCTGTGCCGGCAATATCAGGTTGCAATCCACGAGGTCTCTATTTGGAGTATGCAAGACGAAACTTGAGGACTGCAATCCATGAGCCGGTGGCGGAGGGTCGGCAGCAAGGACCTTCACAACAGAGATGCCACCATATCGTTTTTTTCAAACATAACAGAAGATAAGACATGTGTTCCAGGATGCTTCAAGTGGTCCACTATTTTCGAAACTTCCAAATGACACTGCCAGCACGAATTTCAACGAGGTAGCCTAGAACGAAAGTATGTATTGTCCTTTCATACAGCAGCATGGTAAAGTTTCATGTTCAAGGCCACACCTACAGATGAAGAATACCAGTTCATTTCACCGTGACATCACATGATAAATGTTGCCAGGGGCATGGTGACGTTTTGATGGGATTTAGGATGACACAGAATTTATTTTGAGGTCTAAGTCTTTTCGCATCCCTCGTCAGAAAGAGGATGTCAGGGAAGGAACCGCGGTCAGTCATTTATGGAACGTTTTTTTGAGCCCATTGAAGACTCCTCGTCGTCCGAAATCACTACCTTCAAAGCAAAGTGCCAAGCCAACAAGAAAGTAATTTCAGGATCAAAAACTTCCACTTCCAACTTCAAGCTTCATATCATTCGGCTTCTCAAACAATTTTGAAAAATGTATTGCAGTATCAGTATTTCTGTACTTGTATTTCTGCCCTCCCTAAAATGCATTCCTGTATTTGTATTTCCAAATACTTTTCGCCTCTATTTAAAATGTATTTCTGATACGTATCACGATACACTTTTACAGATATATTTCAGCATCAGTATTTTAGCTACTATTTTAATGTATCCCAGTATTTGTATTTCAAAATACATTTTTGAGTATTTCTGCCCAACCCTGGTTTGCGAAAGCTACGGTCCCAGCGAGCCGGTCATCACGTCGGAGGGGGACTTGTCACTCCCTAGGCAGGGGCAGATTTATGGCTCGGGCTTGGGGGGCGGTAGTCATTGGGGTGGTGATGGGGGGGGGGGGGGGGCCTGCTGAAATATGCCATTGCGGCCGAAACATTGCCCAGATCTATTTTGTTGACCAACATTTGTTGTCACCAAAAACTTAACTTTCAGCTAATGTATATCAATTTTTTCACTAAAAAAAAAAGAGTTGACCTTCAAAGGCTTAGGGGGGAAGGGAGGGGCAGTCACCTCCCACCCCCGAATCTGCCCCTGTCCCTAGGTGTGCACAGTGCTGTCGAAAACACGGAAGGCCCCTCTTGTACAAATTTTTTAAAGAGACAAGGGGCAAAGCAACGTCTGGGACACATGAAAAGAGGGTATCAGCTCCCCTCTCCCCTTCTCTCCAACTGCTTGGGTTACGCTCTCACCCCCTGTTTTTGGTAAGGGCTGTCGCCATACCTCGGCAAACCTCACTCATGAGGGCCCTCACTCACCCTCACTCACCCTCATCCTCACAGGTGAGGTGAGGGTGAGTGAGTTTCTGAACCAGGAAAATTCATGAGTGTGAGGGTGAGTGAGGGCCGTGAGGGCTGTGAGGGCGGTGAGGGCCGTGAGGGCTGTGAGGGCGGTGAGGGCCGTGAGGGCGGTGAGGGCCGTGAGGGCCGTGAGGGTGGTGAGGGCCTTGAGGGCGGTGAGGGCCGTGAGGGCCGTGAGGGCCGTGAGGGCCGTGAGGGCCGTGAGGGCCGTGAGGGCCGTGAGGGCCGTGAGGGTGGTGAGGGCCGTGAGGGCGGTGAGGGCCGTGAGGGCGGTGAGGGCCGTGAGGGCCGTGAGGGCCGTGAGGGCCGTGAGGGCCGTGAGGGCCATGCAACTCGGAGCAATTCGAATGCGTTTGAAGCGGCTGCATCCAACCAGGGACGCAAAAGTTTCACGTGATACCTCGTGCCGGTGATGATGACACCGAAAGACTTGGTTCTGGTTTGAAATCGATCGTTTTTTTTTGGAAATAAACTGTTTCAGAAAGGTGCATTAGTATTCTTAATGAGATTTAAATGCATAAAAACACGTTTCTAACGCGTAATTGTGTCTAAATAGTGCAAGAAAAATAAAATTTTATGATGACGATGGCAAATTGCAGCAATTCGTTGCTGCGTGTGATCGCGGGCGGCCCGTGTTGCTGGTGTTGCGACGTAAAGTTTCTGGGCGAAATTGCCCCATCTGAAGCTGGCCTGAGTGGCGTGAGGGCCATCAGTGCGTGAGGGGCGTGAGGGGTGTGAGGGCCGCAAGGGCGGTGAGGCGCGTGAGGGCGGTGAGTGGCGTGAGGGCGGTGAGGGCTATGAGTGCGTGAGGGCCGTGAGGGCCGTGAGGGCGGTGAGGGCCGTGAGGGCGGTGAGTGGCGTGAGGGCCATGAGTGATTGAGGGGCGTGAGGGCCGTGAGGGCGGTGAGTGCGTGAGGGCCGTGAGGTTCAGTGAGGGTGAGTGAAGGGCTGAAGGTGAGTGTGACTGTGAGGGTGAGGGTGAGTGAGGGGCTGAAGGTGAGTGTAGCTGTGAGGGTGAGGCTGAGTGAGGGGCTTAGGTAAGTGTGGCTGTGAGGGTGAGGGTGAGTGAGGGCGACCTAAAATGCCGACCTCTGGCTGTCGCATGCTTCGCCTCCGTTGCTTTGACTCGCTCGAGAAGGCCATAGTGTTCGCTGTTTGCCAAATTACGGTGAAACAGAGTATAGGTAAGGCTATGACAGGGGAGGGGGGAAGTCCTCGAGGTGGTTCACAGCAAAAGCTCCTTGATATGCTTGTTGATATGTGTGTTTTTACCCTGATTCGCTATTATGGACGACTCATACTATGGACGATTGACTTTTCTGGGGAACATATTCATCCATATTAATGAGACATGACTCCATCATTTGAGGTTAGGTGAAGAGGCAAATAAAAAGAATCAAAGAGATGTCTTCCAGCTTACCATGTAATTACGAAAGCCTTCATTCTTCATGACGCACATCCTGTACAGGCGGCAAGAAGGAGCGAAGTTCGTGAAGTAGAGGTGCAGGGGCTTGGAACTGTGCCTGTTGGAGCCATACAGTCTCCGAAGCTGTGAGGAAAGCTTGTTCAACTCCTGAAAGGTAAGGCAAAGAGGAGGTCTGTTAGTTGGGTTTAGGTGAAGTGCTGGAGGTTACACAGGAAAAAACTCTTTTCAGCAGGATAAAATACTGCCCTGATCCTCGGTTCATATAGTGTAAGCACTAATCACAATAAAGTGCTGGCACCTCTCTTTCACATCACAAAAAACTGGAAGTTTACTTGATCAGAATAAATGTAATGTATGTCCCCTTAATCATCATGATCAAAGCTACTCTGCAGTTTAATAATTTGCAAATCTACTGACTTGAGACAAGCTGCTGGTTGGTTGAATGAAATGACAGGCTGGTCAGCTTTTATACTTGCAAATGTAGATAGTATGTATTAGCCTAGAGGTGCTGGCAGTTGGCAATATCTCACTACATATATTCAACACAGTCTGTCTATAGATCTGCTTGCATTACAAGCTCCGTTTCAGATATTTCTAGAATGTTATGAGGCAAACCTGAAAAGAACCAGTCATGCATCTGAGAACGGCCATTTTCACCTTGTCATTCATGAGGTCGGTGAGGCCCAGATCGATGCACACTCGTGGAGTGGTACCTCTCGCTTCAAGAAGTCTCTTTTGAATTGCTTCCTTTTCCAGTCGCTTGCTCAACCTCACAATATCTGCAAAAAGCAAGCTCAATAAGTAACTACAAAGAGAAAACTTAAGGTTCCCGAATACATTTAAAGCACAAAACAGTCTTCATCAAATATCGCCACCAGGGGCAAACTAGCATTTCGTCGAATGCTGGCTACAGACTGTCGAATGTCGTATGAGGTAGCTTAGTAATTAATCCTTACATCAGTCCTATCATAAGACACAACAGCCTACTTATGTGACAACCAAGCATCATAAAGCGGTAGAATATTCCACAAGTGGACAATTCAAGTTATGCACTATACTATATTACATTCACGGGCATACAATTTGACTGCTCCATAATAAACCTCACGAGCATGAGAGACTTAAGAGTCAATAGCCGTTTCATAATTTACCAAATCTGACAACTTTTGAATGGGCACTAATCCCACCAGAAAGTCATTGGAAGAGTGTAGTTTGCTTCCCCAGTGAAATTTGCTCCACTGACGTTCATCGTACAATCTTGTACTTTTCAATTTGAAACACAACTGAAATGTCAGAAGTGTCTAGCAGGAACACAGCTTAAAGGGACACTGACAGGGTATTTATGCTCGCCGAGGTTTTTAATTGTATTAAAATATTCTGGCGGGCTAGTTGGTTATACATAATTGAATTACAAATAGCGCTAGGACGAGGACAGACGAAGAAGTGGACAGGACAGGTGCTAACTCACCTTAAAACCGTCAGTTGTGAGTTAGCGCCTGTCCTGTCCACTTCTTCGTCTGTCCTTGTCCTAGCGCTATTTGTCATTTAATTTTAGTTGTACGTGACATATGAGAGCCCAACTACCCATAACAGGATTTGCGGGTCGAAATTCGGTTTCTTTTCACCCGAAAACTGCCAGTACAGAACTGGGCGGTTTGAGTCGCGCTCACTCTCTTTTTCGTGGACATGGGCTGTTTTCTAACATTTAGACACTACCACCAAATTTAATTGAAGTCGTGGGTCATTAAGGCACACAGTGAATACTTAAAATAAAAAAAATATGAAACCCATTTTTTGTGGCTTTCAAAAAGCTACCAATACATTGATTGAAAAAAAAAAGGTTGCACAGACAACCGAAAGCATTTCGTGTGTTCACTGCATAATTCTCAAAAAATGGCGTCGTTTCGTGTTTCGTGGGACTCGCGGGTGGCAGAGGACAACGGGCGTGGGATCTCTACTTCAGAATTGTCGTTCACTGTACTGGTGAATTCTGTCTTCCTTCGGAAGAGAAATTTTGGACCGATCAAAAGAATTGATATTCATCCCGTACGACACGCCCGACCAGCAAGCCGATTGCACGAAGACATCGCCAAGCCGTCCTCCCTTCTCGTGGCTGAAGACATCGCTCGCTCAAACGCCAAGCACGAAGTACATACTTACACGAAGTATGTACTTTGTGCATAAGTACACGAAGTACGGTTTTTTTACTAGGTGCGAATGTGGCCAATATGTGGTGCTGCGGCGACTTCAAGCCGAGAGTGCATGTGCTGGAGGGAAATCGGCAGCAAACTTTCCGACATACAGTTAAATGGCTGCATTACTACAAATGAAAGAGTTCCCTCAGTAGCTCAGTGGAAAGACGTCCACTTTACCCGCAGCGGGCACGAGTTCAACCCCTAATGTGGGCGTACATTTTTTTTTTTTTCCAACTTTTTGCAATGTTTACATTTCTTTCTTTTTTTCGAATTATCACTGAAAGAAACTATTGTTGTGGACAATACGTCAATGAACTAAATGGTATGGGATTCCATTTTTGAAACCTCGGCCGCACAATGCCACTTTCAGATGCAGGACATGTGGGGCAGCTCTTCACACAACATCTTGGGAGTATTCTTTTCGGAGCCGATCGCAGGAATTAACCACAGGCACTTACTACTAACTGTCAACACTTAAATGTACAAAATAACTCATCTTAAAGTACAGAACAACGAGCGGAACAAACATGACTGCAAAGGAATCGCACAACGAACAGATCCCGCAATGCATTTCGTCTGCTGCACGCGGAAAAAAAAAAAACCACACGGTTGGGTGTGGCCACGTGACTTCTGCCACTCACTCTCTCCTCTCCACTCTCCGTGCGGTGCAGGCGTTTCGGTTTCGGTTTTGAGCAGTGGCATTTTTTTGGCTTTATTCAAAAAACACGTGACTCTGTAGCTAAATATTAATTGGGTAGTATTCCGACACCATAATAAATCGCCTGGCAAAAAATTTAAAAAAAAAATTAATTTGGGGGGGGGGGGGGGGGGGGGTGTCAGTGTCCCTTAGGCATTCAGAGATTATGTATATCAGAAAAGCAATAAACAAGCATGAGCCACAACAAGTCAGTGGATGACAGAGGGTAAATGAGAAGTATGAAGGGGAACATGAAGAAGTATTGTGCACAGCATTTCATTTTCTTGGAATTCATAAAGGCTATTTCATATCACTAACAGTGCTCTAACATAGCTCTCAAGTTAAAAAACACCTGGAAAACATATTCGGCAATATAAAAAACCATCACACCATAGAGTACAAGCTCAGCCAGCTGAAAAGATTTCTGGTGAAGTTGCATTTTACAAACTCCAAAAAATTGGGGAGATTTGTGGAAATTTCTGGTCTTTTTTTTCTGCAATTCGTAAAGATGACTATGGCTCAATCATATGCAGAATCTAATCTCCATGTGCCCCACAAGTGTTAGGAATCAAATGACGAGTAGATGGGTCCATGGTGTCAGTATAAATGAGTGATAAGTGAGTGAATACAATATGTACACATCACCAGCCCTTTCATTCATTCCCAGTCTCCAGTTACCAATCCTTCTAGCAACCACTTACCAGAATGTGCATTTTCACGAGACCCATTGAACAATTTAGATTCCGCAAGGCGCGCCTTTCGATTCCGTTTCTTCTCCTTGCGTTTTGCCCTTCTCGCAGCGATGATTTTCTCGTACCTGTGAACTCGCCGGGCTTCATTTTTCTGAAAAAGGAGCAAGCAAGATTAACTCTGGCCAAGTACTGCCAATCTTCAAAAGGGCCAATCTTCAAAATGAATAAACATTTAAAACAATGTTCAATCAAGATTAACTCTGGCCAAGTACCGCCAATCTTCAAAATGAATAAACATTTAAAACAAACAATGTTGATGTTAGTTTTGTTTTTTCTTGTTCATGAGTTTGCAAATGCAAATCTCAATACTAGAGCAAGGGAGCACTTACCGAAACACAGCGTCCTTCGTCGTTCTTTTGCTCCAACGTCTCCTCACACATTTCACTCGAGAAGGGGCAAGAGTTCCTGACAGAGGCCCTGCACAAAAGCAAAAGAGCTATACAGCCACCCAATGTTGCATGGATATCTGTTAGAATCAACTGACACGTGAAAGGTGCTTGGTAGACTGCTGCCTGACAATGCTGGTTCCACAACGAAACAGTAGGAGCCTTGTGTTGTATTACTCAAACGATGCACATATTTGTAAATGTAAATATCGAAAAAACTAGAAGTAATTTTGCCACCAGTACATTTTCTCACTACTAGGTAGGTACCTCTTCTAAGATGGTAATTACGATGGTTAACTGTGACAGAGTAATTACTGTGTTCAACGACATGAGACCTCAAATTTTAACCTGAGAACATTCAGTTCAAAAACACTTTGTGGCACCTCCGGTTTTGAAAAAGACCATATCATTATGTTAAAAAGCCCCTGAAAAGAAAAAAAAAATGTCTTTTTAAACAGTCTGGTTGGGACAGGCTAATAAAAAAAACTAATTTTATGAAAAAAAAAAAATTTTTAGAGCAATATGGACAGCATGAGACGCGATCTAGTTGGTAGTCACCTCCTTTCCACTTGTTTTCTATCTCAGCATTTTGGGCAAGCGTAGGAGAGGTGAATCGACTTGGCCATCGCGTTGAGGTGGAGAGGGCGTATGACATTTCGTTGAGGTGGAAAGAGCGTAGGACCATTCCGTGACGTCATGGACTTTGCGCACAAAATTTAAAGTAAAACTCACGCCAACAATATTGCTGTAAACAAAAATTTCATTTTTTTTCGCGTAAAATTTATTTTGTGACACGCGTATCCCAACCAAACCGTTAAAAGAAACTTTTTTTTCTTTTCAGGGACCAAGTTACATAATGATATATCAACGAGAGCTAAAATAGGTGTGATGCAGAAAAAAGAGCAGCAAAGTGGAACACCTGCATTACTGAGACAATGGCCATGATATAACTGCCTGAATTGTTACATTATGCACTTTGCTTGTCTTGTAACTGCAATTTCAACTTTTAGGTGCATAAGGGTGGTAAGTATAGAAGATTCTGTTCTGATCCTAGGTGAAAGTTCATCTGACCTATGGAAGGATGAGTGCTGTGGCTTTTCGCTCTGACGCCAAACTATATGTCACTATAAAGTGAAAGATGGGTGGGATGGTCATACACAAGTCTTTTGATAGGGTGCTGCCGGTACTAGCAATTAACAAACTTTGAATAACACAGATATGACTAACTTGCACCTCAAACCTAATATTTTTGCTGTATACAGGGACATGCAGAAGGAACACTTCTTTACATCTCAAACTGATGCAGTTTATCGTTATTCCAGGAAGCTTTAAACTGAACTGGTCTTTTCTCTCTCTTTTTGTAGCCTGGTTGGCACGTTGTTTCCTGTTTGTGTAAGAGTGTATTCCTTTCGGGTGGGTGTATTGCATTGTTTCTTGTTTATTAAGCAAATATGTACGATATGTATCGTTTCAATATTTTTGTCGAAAACCTTGTACTCCCCCCTCATACAATGCCCGAAAGGGCGCTTTGAGGTAAATTAAATAAATAAATAAATTATCACTACGGGTTGTGCATTAGCCTGTCCACGGTCCCCGATCAAGAATGACTGTACACGACAGAGTTAGCATGAACACAACATTGGTGTACGATTGCATTCTACTTTCAAAGGGTACTGGCAAGCACCAAGGTTTACTGCTTATCTTAGTGTTCGAAATGAGCACTTTCCAGAACACTAGTTGTGGAAAGTACTACTATAAAAAGGAAACATCCAGTGATGGATTAATCGTGCTTTGAACTTTTGTGAACACTTGATACAACTGATTCATATAAATTTAACACATAACTGTCACCACTATGCTACTTATCAGGCTGACTACCTGCTGGCACCAACAGTAAAATTATAGATCATTCTTGTAGTTACCTCTCAATCCTGCAACAAGAGTGCTACGTTTGTTGCCACACATCAAAATGAGCTACAATCAATTAATACTTACATAAACCATGTGAACTTCTAGATTATTATACTGTTTTGCGGGTATCCTTGATTCTGAAATGAGCAAGTTAGACGAAAGCATTGGTCATGGTTGAAACCATTTCATTCAGCAAAACAAAAAAATATTCTGAACACAGCCAACTTTATCCCTTTAGTGGCAGGCATCTAGATGAATACATATTTGCAAACAAGTAATTCTGTGAAGATATAGGATTTACTTAAATCACCTACAGACATGTTTTGTCTGTCATAAATTTAAAAATCCATTGTTTTCAATAACACAGTCAGAGTTAGAAACTAGAAGGGATGCAACCTGACAAGATGTTACAAACCCAGTGTATGCAGCAGCCCTGTGATGAACCAGCCAGTTCATGAAAACAGCTGATACCCTAATTAAATCTATCAAAACACTGTCCTTTTTGGCAATACTTTTTGGGATCATCACCTTTGTAATTCACCTTCTCCAGAGATAATTGGGTGCATGTGCCAACTCTGAGAGAGGGGAGGAAAGGGAAAGGTACCATTTTTGGGGGCTACCTCGTCCACTCAGACAGTGCTGGTTCAGCCTGATTCACTCAGCCATTCTCGCGGCCTGGCTTTATGGTCCTCATGCCTCCCCGCTGCGCAGCTGTACGTTGCACAAGTAGCAGCGAAAATAGTTCCAATGCGAGATTTGATAGAGTTTGCACCCGAAAAAGTAAGCAAAATGGATTCAAGCCCTACGGCTACAGGACCTTAACGGAATGCATCGGCAATGAATTGTGAACTCTCATGTTGGCAGTGCCCACTTCGTCAGAAGTTCATAAACGTGCTAAATTAAGAGACAATATTTCTAACATACCGTTCCTTACTTTTTGACAATGCAGGCGACTCTTCACAATATAAAGACCACTCCGATTTCACCTGGTCCGTGTTTGTTTACACGACCTTGGGTACGGCGATGCCCCACACGCTAACGTTGTACAACAGGACGGCGATGTGACAGAAGGCAAAGCAGTTGTATTGCAATAAGCTTTAACAACCTTGGCGCTTAAGGAGAGCGAAATCAGCAGTTTGTAGTAGCCGGGCCTCGTAGACGGTGTGCACAAGATCTGCACAACGTGGCAGTGCTGAGTAAAGTACATCTAAAAAGTACTTCGAGTAAAATACAAAGTAAATGAGAGGTTATGTACTTCAACTAAAGTAGCATAAGTACAGTGGGTGCAATGTACTTGCAGTAAAGTACTATAAATAGAATGTACTTTTAAAGCAAAGTACTACAAGCACTTATTAACACAATTTTTCAAGATATCCTTTCATTCCCCTATACAGTGGCTTGTTTTTCTTTTTTTTTAATTGGTATGCATTTCTCCAGGGGTAATCAGGGGTGCATCAGTTATTTTAGGAAGTGACGGTGAATATAGGATAAAGTCAAGTGGCTTCGGAGTTGACGAAGCATCATTTTGAGACACAAATATAACAAGACCCAATTTGGGGAATGTGCTTTGAAGTGGGGAGTTGTACATTCCTTGGAAAGCACCAGAAAAAAATATTTTGAGTAAAGTACAAGTACTATCGTGGACAATGTTAGCTGTAACACGGCAGCAGCGCCACATAGCAGGCGCCGTCCAAAACTCCGCGCATAGGCCGTGTGGCGAACTCGTTCTTCCGGTTTGCGAGCACACCCTAGCTTTGTCGTCTGCTAGGTGCAGAGCAGGCGATGCCACAGTGCTGCTTGTCTGGTACTTTCGCCATAGCAAACTGGTCTCGAACTAATTTTCAGCCGACGATTTTTATTGAGGCAGATTGCTGAGTCATTGGGGCATTAATCCTGCCTATGTTTGTTTTTGTTTGTTTGTTTGTTTTTTTTTTGTTTTTTTTAGAAACAGGCGTGCACAAAGCATCTTTAACAATACGCGTTCGCAAACCAGTATGAGCGCAGCAGGTGTGATACATAAATAGATTGTTATACTCCGTTTCACATTAAGTTAGAGTGCAGCGTACACTACAAAACGACAGGGGCAATCAAATAGCGGCAAAGGTGCAACGTCACGAAGTGCATCACCGGGGGATCCAGTAAGGTGCGAAAAGTGTGCTTTTGTCGCTGCTTGGTGAGGCCTATCGTCTCGTAGCGTCCGCTGCGCTTAGACCTAAAGTGAAACGGAGTATAACTGTAAACTTACCCCATAAAAAAATTTAATCTACCGTGATATTACATTTAGTGGCAATGATTATCCTTAGCCAGTGGAGTCAGGGAATCAACCATGGGCACCTCTTACACAGGAAATTGGCAAGCGCTGTGGCGTCGTCTGCTCTGTGCCTAGCAGACGACAAAGCGAGGGTGTGCTCGCAGGCGGGAAGAGCGAGTCCGCCACATGGTGCATGCACGGAGTTTCGGACGGCGCCTGCTATATGGCGTTGGGGATACGGGACGACCGCCGCTGCCGTGTTATAGCTAACACTGTCCACGATAGTACATATAGTCAGAGAATGTACTTGAAGGAAAGTACAATTTAAAGGACACATGCAAAGGAAAAACAGATTATAGTGAAAGAAACCACGAGACAAGGAACGAAAAAGGGGGACAAACACAATACCGTTCTTAGGAACGGTGTCACGGTGTTGCGTTTGCCCCCTCCTTATGTTCCTTGTCTCGAGGTTTTTTCACTATGATCGTTCACCAACTCACCTGCGCAGAAACTCTCATTTGAGTTTCGTTAAACAGCTTAGGTATAAAAAGAATGTCATTAAACAGATATACAACGAAGAAAAAAAATTTTAGAGCTATATTTACGGTGCAAAACGAATCAGTAGTTGGCGACCGCGGAAGCCGCCGCAGGTCACGTGGTAAACTTGTGCGCCGCCGCCACCGCACGCTGAGCGTGGTGTGCCGCCGGTTAAACGCGTTTCTCCATGTCACCACAGCCGCCACCAGGAGAGAACACCCCAGCGGCATTCAGGTCTATCACGTGGTGCTTGCGCTCTTTCAGAAGCTTCCTTTGGGATCTAGAGTTACTTATTAATCTTTGTTTTTTGTTGCATTTCAAACGAAGATGAATAAGTAACTTTTAGAGACCATAGAAAGCTTCTGAAAAAGCGCAAGCACCACGTGATAAATAACCATTTTTTTTTCGCGGGTGCCAACTACAATTTTGTTTTCTTGTGCGTTGTAAATTTGTTTTATGACTTCCTTTTCCCATCCAAATTGGTTAAAAAGATTTTTTTGTCCTTTGCATGTGTTCTTTAAAGTAGTATTTTAAGTACAAAGCACTTAAAGGGACAGTAACAAAGTATTTATGCTCGCCAATTTTTTTTTCTTTTTTTTTTTTTTTTGTACATGACATACGAGAGTTGAATTATGGCTCGAAATTTGTTTTCTTTCGTCCTGAAAACCATTGATCGAGAACTGGCCAGTTTGAGTTGTGCTCACTCTCTTCTTTGTGGTCACATGCCATTTTTTATGGTTTAGGCGTGGTTTAGGCACAACCACCAAAGATAATCAAAGTCGTGGGTCATCGAAGGCACACACTAAATACTAGAAATGGACAAAAATACAATATGCATATTTATGGCTTTAAAAAACTGCAAATATGTTGATTGAAAAAAAGAAAAAAAAAGTTGCACAGCTACTTGATTTTTGGTACTGCTCTCCCCAGTCCAGTTTCAGTTTCGAGCAGTTGCATTTTTTTTTTTTTACTTTATTCAAAATGTATGTGACACTGTAGCAAAATATTGATCGAGTAGTATTCTGACAGAACATATAATCGCCTGGCAAAAAATGTAAAAGAAATGGTGGTTGGGGGGGGGGGGGGGGGGGTTAGTGTCTTTTTAAAGTACTTCCTCCCAACACCGCAAGGTGGATAGGATTGGGATCGAAACCGCTATCACCATTAATTTCCTCACATAACACTGTGCCTCGAAACTCGGCCCCTTTTTCAGTTGATTGCACGATATGACGCCGAAGTGATAATTGAGTGATTCAGAGTCGACAAGAGGAAGCAATGTGGCATTAGCAATCCGTCCATCTTTGACAATATAAAGGCAAATGAAGTCGTCCGTATCGTAGACAGTGGCTTTCATTAAAAGGCAACTCTGCTCAATTCCAAAACTTTCAGAATAATGAGTCAATTAAAATTAGAAAGCAATAATAAAAGGCACTACGCAATTCTCTTAGCGAATAATGGATATATTGTTAAATCCTATCGTTGAACATGAGCAGAAATTCGAACCGAAACTTTGTCTCCACCCGGCAACAATGGCTTCAGACCGCCAAAAACATTGCTATCACGTGGTACAAGATGTCACGTGATCCACTACGCAACAATGGGCGGGCCACCATTGAGGCGGGCGTGTGCCATGCGCATGTGTCGTCTGCATTGCACCCTTCACCACATTTTGGTGTCCACATTCGACGACGTCTGCACAACTGCGGCATCAGTCTGTGTACGTAAAGTAAACGAAACTCTAAGAGACAATAATCAGGAACGATGAGACGACGACGGCGGTTGTGATGCGCGGACACCAGTAACAACGGGACGGCCGGATGGCTCCCAAGAAGCGTGCTGCACAGGTGCATTACGACAATCACAAGGACACGAAGCAGGGGACTTGCGACGCCAGGCACTGGTGCAGACAACGGAGCCCCCAAAATTGTTTCAAGCGATTCCCGCGAGAGTATGCCACGATCATGGCCAAACTCTGAAGATGGCAAATTATACATCAGGGATCTTAGTTGCATGGTCGTATGGATCAGTGAGTGCAAGCAGTCTAACACAATGGTGAGAACTCGAAAAGGAATCTCCTCGGAGTTTTAGAATGGCAACCAAAGGTTTTACTAAAAGCCTCTTCCTGCTAGAGTGACAAAGAACAGGGTTCCTTGACATGGGAAATATGCTATGTTAGAAAGCTTTTTTACGCTTGTGTGTTACGAAGTGGCTACAAAAAGTCGTTTGTAAACAAGTGGTCCCGCTGAACATAGCGCACGGTCACCAAAAAAGCAGGTTTTGTTTTGTTTCCGGACAAACATTTGTGCTCGTCACAGGAAACAGACCATTATAGTATGTGAATAGTTGCTTGCCATTCTGAGGCTCCTAGGGGGTTTCTTTACTTCCCTTATTGTGTACATTCCAGGACTGTGTCTCTGGCACTTCTTTTTTATGTAAAATCAACAACTCAGTTTTGTCGAAGGGGGGCCAATAAAAACAAATTTGAATTCTCCATAAATTTGGTGAACTCTGTTGGTAAGAACATCTTTATTCTGTACTTAAAGAGCAACTCCGCTCAATTCCGAAGATTTCGGGATAATGATTGATTTCGAATTAAAAAGCCCTAGTAAAATACACTACGTCGTTTGCTTCGCGAAAAATGGGATATATATTTTAAAATCTGGTTTTAAACACGAGCGGAAATCGAAACCGAAACTTCGGCTCCGCCCGGCAACATTGGCCTCGGGCCGCCAAGTACATGGCCATCACGTGGTACGAGATGTCACGTGATCCTCGGCCCAACGACAGGCAGGATTGAGGCGAGCTTGTGGCAGGCGCGAGTGTCGTCTGCACCGCACTCTTCGCCACGTTTTGGTGTCTACGGCATTCGACGACGTCTGCACAACTGCGGCCTAAGTGTGCGCGCACATGGTGTCCGTAGTGTGGACGAAAGTCCGAGAGATAATAATCACAATCAGTAAGACGACGACGGCGCTTGTGACGCGGAAGACGGCGGTAACGGCGGGACCACGGCGGGCGGCCGAACGGCTCCCAAGAAACGCGCTGCGCAGGCGCGTTACGCCAATCACGTGTACACCGCTGAGCGCCGAGAGGCAACGTTGCTGACGTCATGCGCTACGCTCGCCCGGAGAAGTGAAAACAAGCAAAAGGGGGCCATGTAGATGGCGTTTAGCTCAATGTTGGCTCCGCCCATGCCGTAGCCTTAACTGCGCTGTTGGTTGCGCCTGAATTCGCCCGCTCAAGTAAGCCGATTTCGGCAAATTGGCGAGTTGCAAAGTTTGCCGGACCATTTAAGAAACATTTAGACAGAACTGCGTCGTAAGATTTCACGTGTGGTCTTCCTAGGCGATACTGAAGAGGACTGCATTGTTTTTTCAAAACCAAAAATGAAGCGGAGTTGCCTTTTAATGAGAAAGAGAATGTGATATTCCAGCAAAATTCCATGCAGGCAACGTGAGCATAATCAGTGAAGTTGACTGGTGTGGACACGCCAATTAACAACATAATCAACAAAAACCAAGCTTTATATCGCAGCAACAGTCAAATGACAGTCAATTATCAAAAATGTTGTTCAATGGTATTTTGCCAGCAAAATCGTGAACAATCAAGGTCACTAGGCACTCAAGCATAGTTGCTGATGAGCACGTGCTGATTGTAAGGTTACACGACGCGTTCGTCGCATGCACTGCACGGCGTCAAGATTGTCGCTGTTGATAGACAAAAAATGTGAGCCAGTTTTGAACATGCTGTGTGAAAAAACAAGCTGAGGTACAACAACCACTGCATGTAGTATAGTATGTTTACTCTTTTCTTCATTATGAGATGGTATGCGTGAGTATATTGCTAGTCTAATAATCACACAAAGAATACAAAGTTTTGATGAAAAAGTCTTTTCAAGCATTCAGGTTCAATACAACTTTTTCGAGTATTCAGATTCAATACGCTTCTCAAACAATTTTTATTTTGGGTTCGACTAAGTTTCTGCCCTTTGTAGCAGTTGTCACTGCAACTGACAAACGTGAAATGCAAAATCTTATTATATATATATATATATTCACATTTTCTTTTTTTCTTTTTTACGCAGTTGAATTTTTTTTAGAGCGTGAAAAAGCAGCGCGCGCGTTTCGGCAAACGCAAGGAAACTGCGCGCGCGTGCGGCGAGGCATAAGCATAGAGCATGCTGCCGGCTCTTGTGGTGTTTGGCCCGCTCGCACATAACGTTAAAACAGATAGGCGGCGAGCGGCTGATAGAAGTTAGAACACACGTTAGAACAAGCGTGAAACTTCGGCTTAAATGCGTAGAGAGTCGCCGGACGGCACTCGAAACAGTGTCTAGATACGTTTAGAGAATAAACCAAAACAATTTCTGGCTTATTTTATATAAAACACCGCAAACTAAGAGGTAACCTATGTATATCGCAATTATATTATTACTAATTGCGCTGTTGCTTGTTCCCTTTCACATGCGGAGTAACACGCTTATATGCAAGTATTGACATACTACATGTCACGAAAAATTTAGCAATGAACTGTTCACTAAACACGGAGACGCAGCAATACTCACAGGAGCAGATAGTTTCTGCTTTTTTGGTCTTTCCTGTTTAACTGAATTTAGGCATTGATTCAGGTGCGCCTTGGCGCTAGACCGCTCCGGTTTTCTTTTGTTTTGGCTAGTCTTGGCTTCGACTTTCGCGTGTTTATGAGTGCCTGTAATGAATGATACCTGCTTTCTTAGTTCAATTAATTACAGAGGAAGTTCAACTAGATTTAAATTTTAAAACACCTAGTTCGGCAGAGCTATACTGGCGTTGTTTGATTGCGGAAACAACGCAATAAGCGTCTGCTGCTCGCGGCTTATAATCGAAGAAAAGTGTTCTCTTACATTTATTTTCACTGGAAAATGGTTAAAAAAAATAATATTAACTACAATTACAATTTTCTTGACCTGCACAGTAGAGCCTAAAAATAAAAACCTGCGCAGCTTGGTTTGCCTTGCCTACTTTTGTTTACTTTGGGGGTGAAGTAATCCTGAGGAATATTACCTGCAGGGCAGATTCTTCCAAGGTAGAGTATTTGGTAGAGTGCTCATCAGAATGGTCAATGCAGCTTGCAGTAAATGTAAAGGGCAATTCTACAGATCTGACACAAGACTATGTGGATATTCGGATGAGCCTAGGCTTACACAGCCCAACTAGTTCTTACGGATAATTGTGCCCTCACCCAGTGTATCGAAGTGAAAACTACTTACCCTAAAACAAAGACTTTGGTAGTTCATCTGCCTTCTGTCCGAGTGTTCTCCCTGAAACTTGCAAGCCCACTAGTGCTATGACATTTGCCTGAAAGTGTCTTAAAGTGTATATTGCGCATGCTTACTATTTCACCATTTTACTGCAATTTCAGACCTTCCAAGAAAGGTGGGCAACTTTCCAGAGGCACCGAAGGATGGTTCGAGGCAGCTGACCACACACGCAACTGCACTTCGCTCGGCACAGTGCAGCTGCATGATCATAACCAGAACACAGGCAAGCAGTTAACGTATGGCTTGCCTCATTTAGACTTCTACTAGAGTGCCCACGACCCCTAATTAAAATTTTGATATGATGTCAATAGTCTACTCCATAAAAATTAACGCTTTTACCGTCTCCTCGACATAGTTTGGCAATCTAATCTATGGTGCATAACAAAAACAGGTTATGTATTGTTTTTGTTATGTTTGCGTTGTGTTCTGAACTCACAATGAGAGGCAAGAAGGGATTGCACTGCTTCCAGGATGTATGGAGCACATGATTCAGCCCAAGCGTACATAGCACAGCCCCGCAATACGGAGCACAAGCTTCGTCTGCTTCTTGCACAGGAATTACAGTGACGTCGGAACGCCGAGCTCCGGTTGGCTCCGACTGTAAAATAGCGGGTAGACCTCAATGCTAGTTGCCTTGAGGTCTACCGCTATCCTTCCAAATAGAGCCAACCAGAGCTCGGCGTTCCGACATCACTCAACCCCTGCGCAAAAAGCAGGCAAACTCGTGCTCTGCATTCCCTGCGCTACGCGGTGCAATGTTGGGTTGAGGAGAGGCCTTGCAAGATATTCTGAAAGGTCAATTTTTTGCACAGGCAAAAGTCTAATCCGATTCATCTCTAAATGCATGTGCATCACTCCTCAATTGCATCACTGCACAATAGTCTCGCATATAAAAGGTAAAGTACAACCAAAATAATAACACCATTCTATCGTCCGACGTTAAGGGACCCATTGACAAAAAGGCCTCGTGAATCTCTCATGTTACCTGTCAATCTTCACCGTGAAGTAAATCAAAATCAGCATTGTTAATACCACCCTTCTACAAAGACTACCTCTCTTGCAGGGGGCAAGAGCATGAGGTGGTGTCTCCTTTCTCTGACAAATTCCGGTGCCTTTATATTCGTTTTTAACATAATTGCTGAACACTGCCGGAGGTGTGTGCAAGGTTTTCAGCTTGAAGCAGTTTTCACGGCAGAAATTATCAATATACGCAAGACTACGCAGAGCGCAAGTTCGTCTGCTTCTTGTGCAGGGGTTGTGGCGACGTTGGAACGCCGAGCTTCAATTGACTTGGAGCCAGTCAGAGCCAGTTGCAGCTCAGCGTACTGACGTCACCAAACCCCCTGTAGAAGAATCAGACGAACTTGCGCTCTGCATAGTCATCGACAAGGCGAGGACGGCAGGGCATTTTTTTTTAACGCATGACCTCCAGCACAGGCTCGTTGCCTTCTGCAGCGCTTTGACTGCACGCGCACGCTCGGAGATTACCAGAAGCCAAAGCGTCATGAAAGGTAGGAAGCCCACGTTGGAGGCGGGACAGCCGAAAGCCCTCTCTGCCACTCTCATCCCGTCGGCGACAATAGTAGCGCCGTTACAGTGCATGGAACGCACCTCTGACCGGCGTGTTTAGCGTCCTATGCCGCCTCACATCAAAAGTGGTCCCAAAGTGGCAGCAAATGACGTCACAAAAGCAGGAGCGTCGTGCCGTCGGATGTCGCAATCCCGGCAGTCAGTCCTACAAGTTCAGGCAAAAAACACAAGCAGACGCAAGTGTCGCTGTCATTGCGGCGTCCCAACCCCTGGCTGCCGAAGCTTCCGAGGACTGCCAAGTCGGGGAGCTACCTGCGGTGGAACGGGCGCCTGCCACAGCCATTATTGCTGTGGTAGAACGGCCAGGGTCGCAACCGGCAACCGCATGACATTTTTGCGATGTCGTTGGGCAAAAATTGAGGGACCACTTTTTTGAGGCAGTAAATACGCCGGTCGGAGACTCGTTTCGGGTACCACGTCGTCATTTCATCCTACCAAAAGCGTCCGCAAGATTATACGCTGTCTTGAGAGTTTAGTGCGGTGTCGCGGCACGTGAAAATACCAGTGCGTGGCTCATGAATATGCTCTCTTTGCACGAGCTCCCCTACAAACAAGGTGTACGTTGCAAAGTTAAGCTCGTGCACCTTCGCTTACGACGGCATTGGCTTCGTTTGATATACCAGCACCTCCTGCGCCGGTGTAGAAAATTATAGGGCGGTGTACTTCCTATCGTACCTCGACACTCATACCGGAAGTACACTGCCATACACTTTCCTGCACCGGTGCAGGAGGTGTAGGTAAATTGAATGAAGCTACTGTAAGAAATGTTACGGATTACACACTGTGAGCGACATCACACGTCACAGTTTGATCTCTTAGTTTTAGTTGGTCGTCGCCCGGTCTGCTGCTGCTAATTTAAACCTCATAAAAGTAGGCATCCCTCCATCTCCTGGAAACATCTCGTGTTGTTTCATGACAAAAACGAGCATTGTTGTCATTCATACAATGCAAATTGAAAATTCGAGAAACAGGAGAACCACAACTACAGCAAAATACGGCGGAAGCACCCACTCCGCTCGAGCACCCACTATTAACGTCCTCCAAACTTGGGAATTCTGCAAATTATACACTGAGCGACCGATTTGACCAGACAAGCGCCCATGTTCAGATTAACCAAGTTTTCAGTGAAAGCGGGGTGGGTGGTCCCCCCGGTATTTTACAGTCACAAAAACAGTCAGCTGGCAAGGATTATGCGGCTTTCACAGCCACGCCGAAGCGCGCCCTATCAAACGGTTCGAGCAAGCTCGTCGCCGCACCAGATGACGTGCGAGCCTTCAAGAAACTCGGACGACGCTGTCAAACAATTCTCATGCCGTTGACGGCACGGCGTCGCCAACGGGCGGAACACCACCGGAAGCGCCAACGCCGTCCGTCGTCTTCGCGTACTGACCCTCAATTCCACGAGCCACAAAGTTCCAATACTCCTTGCGTATCACGTCTTCTTCCTCTGCGAGTTGCTCGCAGAACTCGAGCGCCCTCCGAAACATCCGTTCGTCGGGAATGGCGGCGAGTTTGTCCGACATGGAGTCCACCATGAAGGCCAGCAAGTAGGCGACGCGACACCCTTCCGCATAGAGCCGCTCGCAGAACTCGTCCACGTCCGACCTCTTGCCGGCGTCGGCGGCGTCCAAGATGCCCCTGAGGTAGTTCCAGGGGCTCTCGTTGTGCACCGCCTTCCGAATGCACTCAAACGTGTATGCGACTTCTCGGTCCAGGACCGCTTCAGTGAAGCCAGTCGTGTTGGAGATGATGTAGAAGCGCTGGTTCCAGGCCGAGTTGTTGCGCACGTCGTCCTGAAGCAGCGTGCTCACATAGTCAAGTTCTCCGTCCCACAGGTCGAACTCCGAAATGGCCCACTGCCGGTGCTGCCAGGCGTGGTAGTTCTTGGCGTCCATCCGTAGGACGGATTCCGTAAACGCCTTTTCGAGCGACGCATCGTGCAGCCATTCGACGAGCACGCGCCGGTGATGCCAGACCTGCAAAAGGGAAACGGAAGCAACGAGAGGTACCGAATTTTAGTTTATTTACCCCATCAATGCTTGTTTTATTCTTTCTAATTATTATACAGCTAGCGTAACTTCCATGAAATCTATTTTGTCCCGCCCCTCTTCCTGCGACGGAAGCTTTCACGCCGCTCTTTATTTCACCAACTTTATTTTTATAACTTTGTGCTTCGCGACAAATTAATCACTTGTCCCTATTAAATTTGTGCTTGTCGTGATCATCAGCACAAAGTTGAGGTACCTGTCGCTATCACATCTACATTCCAATCTTCTTTCCTTCCTCGCACGTCCCTCGACTGGAACCACCTTCCTGGACCAATTGCGTCCATAACTGACACTGTATTTTTTAGGTCTGCTCTTACCAATCATTTTGTTGTTGAGTGTGAATAACCATACATCACAGTGCTTTGATCCCAACTTTGCTCTCCCCCTCTGCAATGCCTTTGGGCACTGAGGGTAAAGCAATAAATAAATAAATAAGTGCAGGCGAAAGGGCCGGAAGGCGAGCGACAATGCTGCAGCTCGACTGAGTTTCTGCCCTCACAAACCTTGCTGAAGTGGCAAAAACGAAAATATAGCAAAACTTCTACGAGCGAAAACAAGCAAGACACAAACAGCATTGCAAAGGCAAGTACTGTACATACCCGAACACAAGTAGAGCACACTGCAAAAAAAAAGAATGTAAAAACTACCATTGTCTCTAAACAGCCAAGACCAGGTGATAAATGTAAAGAAACCAAAGGGAAAAAACAGGAAAGTGACACCAGAAGGCAATGTCTCATTGAGACATTCCTTTTGTCATCCTTTTTCTGCTCTTTCCACTTCGTTTTCTCCACGCTCGTCACCCAGTCTCAGGTGTTCAAAGAAATTGATAACACTAGCTCACCTGTGCCGTCACGGTTTTATTTAAAAAATAAAAGGTGTACAACCTGCAAAACGATCAAACTCTTTCACATAATGGCCCTCTCGTCAGGCTCTATGAACTATCCGGGGCGACTGCTGAGAGCTAAATTTTAAGCTCAAGATGAGGTGGCGATAGTGTTAGATAGGGTACACAAAAAACGGTTTCCCGGAAAAAGCCTCAAGAAGCCCATTAGTTCGACCTTGCTTTCCCAAAGATAAAACACCCAGTGAAATGCTAGCTGTCATTCTGGAGCTCACTCGCAATATCATTATGCACTCTCACGTAACATAAAATACTGGAGGAACACCCACCCCACTTTCACTGAAAACTGAGTTAATCTAGACATGGGTGCTTATCCAGTCAAATCAGGTGCTTAATGTACAGTTTGCAGAAATCCTAACTTTCGGAAATGTGAATAGTGGATGCTTCCACAGTATTTCACGGCATAATAAATACTGAGCCTTGGCACACACGCTACAGTCTACACACACTTTGTAATAAGGTGGATGGATGGACAGATAGATATGGCTGAACGCCTAGAATCGAGCAGTGGCTTACACCACCTAACTACCGCTGTAAACTTCCCCCGCTAATATATACTACGCTGACATGCCTTCTAAAGTGGCAAAAAAAAGCTCCTTCTCTAAAATGTGAAAATAAGGAAAATGTTTATCCTTCCCTCGGCTTGTTTCACAAGTTAGATAATTGATTTAGTTCCCGCAACCTTCCTACTGTCCACTCATCCTTTGCTGTCCTTTTTCTTCAGTGAATTTACTTAATCAGTTTTAACTTTAGAAACTGCAGGGCGAAGCCCTTTACAATAGAGTGGCAAGTGTTTACCCGTCTTCACCCCCTATCCTCTCCAGTAACGAGACAAAAGCTCATTGTACAGAACCTCACCGAACGAAAGCTCACCCTTTTTTTTAGACACAAACAAAAGCTCGCCTCTTTCTTTTTTTTTTTTTTGGCTACCCCAGCAAAACACGGGTTTGGCTAAGTGCGGACGCGATGAACATTGCGCTATTATTAGGAGGCTGCTTTTTCCACCTCTCCTAAAGCACACGAAGAAAGGTAAGCCAACAGAAACCATTCTACCATTGTCAAAGGGAACATGCTGCTAAAAAAATTCAGCGCCATCACTTTTCCTAGATATATATTGCAGTGATGATTCGCCTTGTCACTTCAGCCAACTGGAATGCTGTAAGACCTCCGGGAACAAATTCACTAAGAAAATAGCTGAATGAGCAAGGTTAGGCAAGTGTCTTCATTACTAATGCACATGTTTTCTTCCGGTTTAGAATAATATGTGAAGTGAATGGCTAAGAAAATACAATTGTTTCTATCATTGTGCGTCGTAAATATGTTTGAAATTAAGAATTATCTCAAAGTGATGCCAAATGGAAACTGAAGCAAAACTGTATTATACAAAGCATTGAATTGCAAGTGCAAGACTGACGACCAATTTAAAAACCTGCGCGGGATGTTGGATGGTCTGGCATTCCTTCCACCATAGCTTGTGACCGAAGGACTAACGTACATCAAGGAAAAGTCTAACAGTGGCATCGGCGACCCGCTGGACTGCTTTGATTGCACGTAGATCAAATGCCCCTTCAGTGTTACTTCTGCTGCAGCACACAGAGCAAATTCTTCAAATCGCCTAACTGTGCGCCAACAACGACCGGATTTTTCCTGGAATAATGAAATATGTATGACGCCACACTACAAGATGAAGACCGGACAACAACGCCTGCAAAGGGTGGAATACCGGGTTCCAGAAGCTTGTCGGCCACGCCCATCCAAGCGCCTGGAGGCTGATCAAATGCCTCAAGCAACATCAGACGCTCGTTGCCATGGCACTGACACAAGCCTGGAGAGTTGTGCCCCCAGTGAAGTGGGTCTGAAAAACCACCCTGTGCCTGCAGAACCGTCGGAAATTATTCGCGAAGGGTTCAATGTACACTGACACCTAACAAGACTGCTGAAGGCAGTAGAGGATGGCATTCGCTTCTCATCCATTAAATAAACTTGTATCCCTTCTAATCAACAAACCAGGTGCTTGTCAGATTTAATGTATGGTTGCATTTTAGAGTTTTACGCACAAACCTAAGTTGTCCGCGCTCGTGTTAAGACCAGCATGAAATTTTCTCCTGGTGAGTTTTTGATCGGGTTTGTGAAAAAATAGGTGAGCTTTTGTTCGGGATTCCCCCCCTCCACGTGTTTTATGCACTGTGCCTATATCCTGACATTTAGATATGTGCATCTATGCCTTCAAGAATGGTTTAGTCTGTTTACCATCATCCTATATTTATGGTGTGCAAGTAGTGCCGGTTGTGCCCCCTAGCTTACCAGTAAACAGCTTAAGAATTCCGCCTAGCGTGATCCTTATTTAAAGCATACAGTACTCCTGACAGTGATACGAGGCTCATCGAAATGCTGAACACGGTCATCCGTAAGCGACTGCTGGGTAACTAGCGGTTTTCCCAGGAAATTCTTTCATTTTATTTGGCCGGTGAACGCGCGCTGAACGGGTGTTTCAGAGTGAGTGACCACTCTTTGGACACCCAATAACAAGGGTCAGCAAACGCGCCGGTAATTTAGCTGCCTTCCATCCCAAGAAGGGCCACTGATGTGTTTAACAAGGGCGATTGATGTGATTCGGACATCTTTGCGCACCTGATAGTTCTTGGGGTTGTCCTCGATAACCTTCTGGATGTAGGTGAGCTCTTCGTGCAGGTCTTTGCCGAGGTCCTTGAGTAGAGCCCGGCGATAGTGCCATACAGTGTAGTTGGAAGTGTTGATGTCCACGGCGTCGGTGACGAGTTCGAGGGCCCGTTCGCTGCGCTCGTTCAGCTTCAGCACGGCCCGGAAGTAGTCGAAGATGTCCTGGAACTGCTCCGAGTACGCGATGCGCACCACTGGGAGCCTGCCATCGTCTTGCGGCACCGGGGTCACATCTTTCCATTCGGGCCGGTCGCGGTAAAACACCCACTTTCCGCTGTCCACTTCGTCGCCGTCCGCCATCTTGAACTCTGTCGCGTTTTCAAACGAGTTCATTTACGAGTTCATTGGTGTCTCTGGTGTCCTAGCTAGAAAAGTTTTTAAATAGAAAAGTAATTTATAATTTTTTACTATGCTGCAAAATCTGTCGTTTTAGGTGTGCTTGTACGTTGCAAGGAAAAGCTATAAATGTTTTTATTTTATAATAGTTTCTAAGAAGACGCATAGATGGCACTAGAAGTTCTAACCAGTTTTAGATGGCGTTAGTATACATAGATGGCGCGACCCTACTACATTTAAAGAGAGCGCGTGTTTTTAAATAAAATGCTGATGTTGCCTTTTTTTCTTTTTTTTCGTCTTTCTTTATAGCTTTGAGCCTTTATTGCAATCGCCCTTAATTAATTTGCTTTGTTATTCTAATATACCCCTTGCTGGCAGGTTGAGACATATCCTCACGTACGAGGGACTCCGAATCGGCCTTCCACATTTTATACTTCGGTAAATTACTGCGGAAATGTGATTTAGGTTATTTCGCGTAGTTGAGTACGCAGTCTATGCACCCTTAAGAGTAAAAATTTTACGCGGTGCGGACTAGGTACAGGTGTGGATTATACAAGGATTTGTCTTTTTCTTGATCGTTCATTATGACGAGACGTAACGGATTTTTCCATAAGTTTATGTTAATGGTGATTTATGCATGGCACAAGCTTTTTTTAATCATGCGTTTGACAAGGTCGGATGTGTATGCGAATGTTTCACTTGTAAACAATATAAGTTTCTTTTTTTTTTCTTTTTTTGCTGGCTTTACACCGGGTGAGGACTAGAGTCCGCCAAATATGGTAAGTACTCCAAGTGCAACGTTTCTCCAAAAATAGTTAAATTATGATTAAAATTACCAGCGCAGAAAGAAGCAACGAAGTGTCAATTATGCTTGACTTTAAGAAAGTGATGCAATTATAATACAAAAACAAACTTTTTTTTTTCAGTATGCTGCCAGCCGTGAGACCAGACAAAGTTGGTAGGTAGGCATCTTAAAAGTACAAGCACACTTAAGTATTAAAAATGTTATCAAAGAAACCACACAGGTGTTCACTATTTAAAGCACCTGTGGACAGGCATGTTCCATTCGTCGATACATTTAAGACAAAAAAAATTTTCTAAAAACGTCCGTGTTAACGCCACGAGGCACAATAAATTTGTTATGTTTTGTCCTAGTAACGTTATCAAAGTTCGCATATGTAACATTTTTCTGAATATCAATAAAGTAATGACCATGTAGCTATAAAAAAAAATAATTCTAGTGAACATCATTCTGGTACTTACCGTATTTACTCGAGTAGTAGCCGCACTATTTATGAACAAGGCCCTTACATCCACTTTCCCACAGAACACATATAGAGACAACCATTGCGTTGCCCATAAATAACATAGCGAATGGCGAGATCGAGAACTTGATTCTCCATACAAATGCAATCTTCACAGATGGTATCTTCGCACGAAGACGTTATCTCTGTCCTGTAAATAGCTGGAATCATGCTTTCGATCGCGGTGATTGGCAAACTGCGTTTTCCGCGGAAAAGCGAACCCTCAGGTTTTCTTCATAAACAGTGCGACTATTACTCGAGTAAATACGGTATGGGCAGAAGATTTACATCGGACTTCAGCAGAGAGGCAGAGTCCGTGAATCGATAGCCATTGAAAATAAATCGGGTAAATTTACTTCGTGTGCGTCCTATTTTGTAAATGTTTTTGTTGCGCGAATGGTTCCTAAACTGAGCTTGCATAGCCAATCGTTGGTATTATCAATGATTAACGTGATGCTAATTTGAGCTCTGGACAAGTAAATTTTAACCCTCTTTCAGGTGTGCAAATTTGTTTAGCGCTTTATTAGAAACATTTTTTATGTGTGCATTCCAGTTCAGACTTGATCTTAAACGAACGCCTATAGTTATTTGTACTCCTGCACCTATTTCAAAGGCCTCACGCCAACACAGTAGCGAACTGTGCTGGTACTTTACTTTTCGTTATGCTCGTGTATACAGTTTTGTTTTTGTTTGTTTCTATTTTCCATTCTTCGGCTCGTGTCACTATATTATAATATACGTACAGGATGAATTGAAGCAGTCCAAGAACAGGGGGCACTGCAGAGAGCAATGTAGACGACGCGCCTTTGTTTCCCTCTGTCTCGTTTTACTTCGAAAACACAATTAAATTTATTTATTTCCTTTAAAAGCTACCTTACCTCAATTATATGGATGTTAACTAATCATGTGAATTCAAGCTGGAGTTTCATCTGAGAACCTGCATGACCGAGCACTTAAAATCTAGAGGGCAGCTCGCCTCGCCAATGCCTCCCCCTCCCTCCAGGTAAATAAATAAATAAATAAATAATCTATTTATTAGTCTTAGTTTTAAGTGTACATGCAAATTATACGGAAAAAATAGCTTTTGATTTTTTGTGGTTTACTCGGGTGAACCAATTTTTCATAATTTTAGTGTGAAAGCTTCAACCACTTTCGGACACCTCCCTGGTAAATCCTATAGCGCGATACGCCAATGATTTCTGCGGACCGTCCAAGGTGATATGGAAGCGTTCGTGTACACGCTGTATAAGCAGTGGGACCCCGGATTTAGGGATCAACATAAGGACACACGAGACGTAGCGAAAACCCCTCCTATTCTGCCTGTAAAGCTTTGGATGCTGCAACCTCTTTTTACACCGGAATAATTTTGTTCCGTAGCACTAAGCGCAACACAGAAGGTACGTCACCCACTCTACCTGACCACTTCAACAAAGAACCTTCAAGGTCACCACCATTCAAACCCAAAAAACCCGTCGTAGTACAGTCTGCACAAAACCGAGGCTTGTTTGCAACGTTCCCGTGTTTTAGCGTGAATAACAATTATTTTATTACTAAAGGGACCATGAAATGAATTCTTGGTTGGGCTAGATTGGGATTTTACTAATCGCATATCACCTAGTGCGCCAAAAAAAAACTAGTACACCTTCGTAAAAAAAAAAAAAAAAAATTGGGGTGTGTATGTTTATACAGCCTAGAACCTAGTCTGTCTGATCGGGCTGCTTGTCTTCTAGCTGTCGATGAGAAATTTAGCCAGTATAACCGCTAGCCTGGGGTCTTTAACGCACCACGCAGTAGTGATACACGACGGCAGGGCCGTAACCAGGGGGGGGGGGGGGGGGGGGGGGTAGGGGGTTCTGACCCCCCCCCCCCCCCCCCGAAATTTTTTTCTGTGTACGGCCCTGGTCGGTGCACTGGCAGCCAGCCAATTTTAATCTCCACCTCTGCACACGCGCAGTGGCGCCGGTCGGCTAGCGGGTACCAAACCGGGACCGGATCTCCGGTTTGCTGTAACTCTCCATTATATGCCACCGATGCACATGATTCATAGGCGAAAATAAGACAATAGACACTTTCAAAATGGCCGCCGTTGTCCCCGAAACCCCCCCCCCCCCCCCCCCCCCCCCCCCCGAAATTTTTTTGTGGGTACGGCCCTGCACGACGGCACGCCGTTACGATGCCCATCCAGATCGAAACGAGCAGGGGTTGTAGCGGGAGCTTTCGTTCTACAGTATTCCAAGTCTGTTCTACAGCCTTCCAAGGTTAATCTCGGCTATGTCCTGTGGTAGGCTTGGCTGTTGCTTTCTCTCCTGCCGGTACAAGGTGCTCCTCACGCTCTCGAGAGTCAGCATCTCCACCATTACCGTGCGTGTCATCGACCTAGAACGAATTGGTCCCGTCGCAAACAAGATTCAATCATAGACATAATGTACACGTATACTCGTGTAATAAAACATTTATTATAACGACGATTTTTTTATTTGCTTTTTTATTTACTTGGCCTACAAGGCTTAAGATCTCTCTGCTGTACGCTAGTGGCGCTGGCAAATGCGGCTCCGGTCTCACCCTCTCCTTCAATTAATTTCTCAGTCGCGCTTTCCGAAGTTGGATACCATCCGGTGGATGGTTTGGTCTGAAACCCATGAATGGGATGATTATTAATTACTGAAACAGAATTCATTTTTTATTTATGCTAAATTAGCGTAAGTAATTCAGTCCCCTTTCGGGGAAGCTAGACAGCTGTCACAGAGTTTATGAAATAAAAATAAATTTGCTTACTTTGTGTTCTCTTGGTGTATTTTTTTTTTGTTTTTTTTGTTTCGGGAGAACCGCTGCTTTTCGGTTCAATGCCCGGTATTTGGCACATCTCCAGGCAGTCTTCTCACCTTGATTCTTTTCCTGAAATAAATATCTGAATCCGTATACTATTACGGCGCCCTTCCCTTCCTGAGCTTTTAAAAATTCGACCTCCACGTCGTGCATTTTGACCTCGACTAGGAAACATCTGGGTCAAACTCTTCAACTTCCAACTTTCAACATTCAACTTTATTGTTTCTCTCCAGGGGAGTCGGAAGGGCGAGAAAAAATTGCAGTGGCTTAGCTCGGCTATACCAGGATATACGTAGCGTGAGCTTAGGTTCAGCTGGTTATTCTTAGCTTTCCTGGTTGTCTAGGATTAGCTTGATTATCATGCTTACTGCTGCTTCAATGACACAAACACGGTATACGCATTATGTGACACATGTATATTTATTTTTTGTTTTGTTTAACGTCTGGTTGCTTCTCTATTGCCACAAAGACGGCTCGATGGTCAGTGTAGTAACACGCTGACGTCTCTATGGCCCCAACGCAGTATTTGGAATCGATTGTCTGTCTCTGATACACAAGATCAATGGTGGTTCCCCATTGAGTCGTCTGTACAGTTGGAAAACTGGCTAAGTCCAGGTTAAACGTGTCCTTCAAAAGAACACCAAGAGAGTCTGGAGCACGATTGAAGTCACCAGCCACCACACACAGTTCACTTGCCGCACTATTAGGTACAGACGTAGCCACTACGTCTATATGAGAGGCGCTATCAAGCGGCCCCGGTGCCTCCAGTGCAGCGTCAGACTTCGCTACTGCGCAACGAAGGCGCACAGCTGGGCACGCGGCGGCGCCAGTGCGTCTGCCGTGGCTACGACGTCACTCCTCTGGAATGCGCAGACCGGCGAGGCGCGCGCGGCGGCTGCGGAGCGCGCGGCGGCGGCGACTCCGGCGCACCAGCTGTGCGCCGTGTGACGTCACTGCTCCTCGCGCATGCGCAGCACGGCTCGCCAGGAGCCACGCGAAAC